TTCTGCAACCCAAACTCGTAATTCTTCATGACATTTCTCCCTGAAAAAAAAAAACATACAGACCATAGTAAACCTCTCTTGCTCGTTTTTGTCTTTGTGCATCCCTCCTCCACACCATCTCTACTTATGCAGGTACCCCTTGCTTAACTTCTCTCTTTGTATGGGGGTCTTAACTTCTTCGTCTTACAGCAATACAGTCAGCCCTCAGCCAAACCGGTTAAGGCAAAGCTTCTCCTGCCTAACTCCTTGAAAAACATTCCTGAATTTGTGATGTTATTCCCTGTGAAGTGTATCTCACTGCCTTAAGTAGTCGGGCTGAGGAGAACAACAAGCTCTCTGTGAGGAGGAAGTCTGCAGGTGGAGAAGATTGAGGGGGTGAGGGTAGTCATGGGCCATGTCTGCACCATGGTGGATACCAACAAGGATGGAGAGAGGCCCAGTGCAACTGCAGCCTGGGGAGCAACCTAGGCACTTGAAGGAGCAGAACCACATTGTCAGCACCGGGGGGGAGGCAAGGTTTGAGAGAGGGGAAGTCGGATGCAGACGTAGACTGAGCTGCATGTTCTGGCCCCCACAGCACGCGAGCAAGCATTGGTCGTGGAGCAGGTGTGAAGTGGTGGAGGAGAGGTAGGAAGGATGACTGACGATGACAGGGAAGGCAGAAGAGAAGAAAGGAGATGGGAAAGTGCAGAGCCAAGACTACAGGAAGGGCGAGAGAGAATATAGGTATTGAGAGGTATTGGGAAGGAAGGTGACGCAGGGGCAGAGGTTGCATTAAATAATTGATAGGCTAAATTCATTTTAATTTAATTACATTTTAATATAACAGCTTATTTCATAGGTTGTAATACAGGTTGTTACTGTACATAGGTCTGAACAACACCTCAGAAGTCTGAGCACACTTCAGAGGATTTTAAAGTATTGTTGTATACATTACAGGTTTTCAACAGTGAATTCCATAAATGCATTTAATTCTTGTAATTGATGACTGGCACTGGTCGCAACTGCCAAACCCATTAGGTTAAATTTATACTGCCATACTTTGTATTTAAGTTTTATTTCAAGTTAAATAAAAAAAGAATTATATAAAAATGCAGACATTTTTAATTAATACTGAAAAATGTGTGAATTAAAACTGTCTGAAGCTGAAGCAGAAATTGTTTTGAAGATTACTAAGACTATATTATATTATTATCCCTGTGCCCCTATAATTCCCCTTTATACAAACCCTGTGAGACAGAGCAGTGCTTTTTAACTTCTCCTGAAACTGAAATAAATTAATGTGTAAACCAACCACTAAACCTTTATTGATATTAATTGACATTGCTACTTTTTTTTTTTCCTGAGGCCAGTCAATACAATAGTCACAGGTTATTTTTTAATATAAATTCTAATACAATTGAATAAATCTAATAAATTTCAATCTAATAAGATTTAATAAAAATGTTAATATAAAATTTAAGGTAAAATATTCAAATAATATCATATAAAATTTAATATAAAAATCATCTTGAGCATTTTTTCAATTTCATTGTTCAAACCTATTTAATCTTTCCTTAATTTTGAGCCATCATTCCTTTCAATAAAAGTTGCCATTTAAATTGCCCTTCTTCTAACGTCATAATTGGCACAGCCTGTTGATTGAGTAATAAGATATGCACTGTGCCTTTAAGATGAACACCGTATTGTAGAATGATGGTCAGCTGGAAATTAGCATCATGCTTTACTCATGTCAAGTTTCAGATTTTAATAAATGGGTCAAAATGAATAACTTACTGTAAGTAAAATGAAAAATAAAAATCGCTCAAGATAGATAAGAAAGAATTAAGGGAAAATGTTTACGGTATTTGCTAAATTTCAATTCCTGATTTTTTTTCTTTTTCCCTTACAACAGTTAAATCTACACATTTTAATTTAAGGCTTGTCATGTCTCTAAGGCATTCATTGAATATTCTGCACAAAATGTGTACACCTAAAATGAAAAATACATGGTTAATATTTTTTTCTTGTGTGCTTATGGGTAATTTATATAGTGAGTTAGATGTGGCAAGATAAACTATGCTCTGCCATAGAACATACAGTACTAAGATTGTTTCATTTCAGGTAAGATTAGAACAAGGGATGGCTTGATATAACTCAACATGGATGACTTGTTTTTTATAACTTACTGAATTAAAAAAAAGGATTTGACAAAATAATATATTGTATTTCTGTATAAGAATGATAATGTAAATAATGTATGATGATAATGTATGGTATTAGAGGGGGCATGCTCCATTTGCCATCTGTTTGATAGTGTTAAATATATGCTAATATCTGTTATGTACAGTAATTTACTGAAGTGTATCAGTGTTTTTGGAAAGTGACACTCCTGTATGCTTTTCATTGAATTTAATTATTGTCATTATTTTGGTTCTGTCATTTTTGTGGAGCAGAACCTTCTGTACTGTTACTACGATGTGATGTGCTAAGGACAGTTCATGCAATGCCTTTGGATAGTCGTGTGCTGCACCGCAAGTTAAAGAGAGCAGCAATTGTGATTAAGTGCTTCAGGCAAAACAAAATGCATCATTTTGTTTGTTAACTGCTTCATACTTATTACTATCTCATTACATTGTGTAGCATAGAGAGTATTAATATTGAACACATTTTTTGTTCTCCCTCTAAATCTGTAAAGGTGTGTTAAGGCCTTTCTACACATGTGGTACAGTACTGTATGCAATGACTGTTGGGATACAGCCCTTCACCACACCTAATTTGTTACCGTCAGGCCTATAATCTCATCTCCAGTGTGATTGATCACTGATAAATGAAGAAAATCTGAGATTACCAAAGGGATCTGAAAATAAACTACAGAACGTGAGCCTTGGGCTTTACAATCATGAAACGCACATTTTTTTTAGCTGTTGATTTCAGGAGATAATAAAAGGCAGAGACAGTATACGTTTTTCAGCAGATGAAGAATATTAATATAATTCCTTGCTTTCCTCCTTTTCATTGTGCTGTATGTGATGTGTGGTTATTATGGGAGGATATAAAAGGAGCCCTCATGTGCTAGAAATTAAAATGAGACTTTTGCTTCAGATTTTTTGTTGTTGTAAATATTGCCTGTTTCTTGCACCAATGGAATAGAACAGGATAAAAAGCTGTAGCAACACAGATATGTTACCTTTTTAAATTTACAATCATGTAAAAGTTAATCCAGCAGGCTGGACTACGTCTTCTCATTCATCATCAGATGCTGATGGAGCCATTGATTATCTTGTTTTTCTTTCTAGATAAATCTGCAGAGAAGAATGAGAGTTACAGGACTGATAACACAAGGAGCCAAAAGAATTGGAAGCCCTGAGTATGTGAAGTCATACAAAGTAGCCTACAGCGATGATGGGAAGACGTGGAGAACCTACAAAGTTAAGGGTACAGATGAAGACATGGTAAGATGCCAATGCCTTTCATTTAATGTGCTGCAACACAGCCTCAGGACTTCTTTTTAATTAGCAGAATGCATGATGTTCATCATAAACCTTGTCTTTGAAACTGTCTAGTTTTTTATGACTTTTTAGATTGAATATTTTTATTATTGGGCAACAAATTAGTATTGCACATGGACTTCAGTATTCCATCATTTCAATTACATTTTCAATGGTCTTTTCACCATAGTCAAGACACTCAGGCCCTTTGTCTCGCTCCTATTTAATTAGTTTGCTAGTAATTAATGTGTTTGCTGTTTGCTTTTTATTGCAGTTTGATGTAAAGGCTCATAAAATCTATGGGGCTTGCAGTTCATCAATACAGGACTGATCCCTCACTACCGCCGTTCAGTTTTTTAAAGAACATTAAAAGGAATATCTGTTTTTGGAAGGCAGTGGAAAACAAGGTTTATGGTGTGTGAGAGTTCAAGCTGCAAATGTGTTTTAGTAAAATGCACAATTGCACAAATCAACAGATGAGTGAGACACAAGGAACTTCACAGTTTTCCTGACATGTTAAAACACTTTTAAATAAGCAAATTTACTAAACAGCATTTGAACATGTATATTATTTTACCCAGCCAATATGAGAAGGCTGCTTCTTCCTTGTAAGGATCCTGAATAGCTTCTTAAAAAAAAACTCAAGACACACAATTTAGAGATACAAATTAACTTAGCCAAGTGTCTTTGACAAGTAAGAGGAAACTGGAGCATCTAGCAAGAAGCCATTTTAACCTATTGAGAACATGCAAACTTCACACAGAAAGCATTCTAATTCTGGAATCAAGCTCAGGACCCAAAAACTTTGAGGCAGCAGTGCTAACACCACTGTTGAACTCTCTATTACTCTAAATTACTGAAACACACAATTATGAAATATTCTGGGCATTGATCCAGAGCCCATTGACATTTCTTCATCATAAAACGGTTTATTTGTATTTTTTTAATGCTTAAAGAAATATAATAAATATTAAAAATGTAATTTCATAAAAACCTTAATAATTACAAATGGACTATGGTAGCATACCTATGTACAAGTGATAGTCATATACTTTGAGGAAAGGGGGCGCTATTTGTGTTATACAAATCATCAATTGGTTTTCCTATAACCCTGTACCATAAAAGCTCAAGTAGAATATTTGGTCAATCAAATTGAATTTCAAATAGGCATCTACTTAAGCCTGGGACTTTTGGCATAGTTTTTTTTTTTCTTTTATAATAAAATTTGTGGTTTAAATAAATCTTTGATACAGAAATATTTATTCAAATTTAAGTGAACTTGAAAGCTGTTATTAAAAGGTTAATTAATTGTTGATGATAAATGTAGAAGTGATGTCTATAGTATGCAGCAGCAGATCTGCTGAGGTTGTCAAACTATAATTCTATGAAAAGTAAAAATATCTGTGTGACACTATGAGAGGGCAACATTCATAATAAAAAATGTCTTTATTCAAAATTATACCATCACAAATGTCAAAAAGACAATTAAAATACTAAACATATACAAGATAAAAAAATTGTTGAGGGAATTCCTATCTAGTGTGTCTGTAGTTGTAAAATGTTCCTGCTTTTTTCCAGATATTCCGTGGAAATGTAGACAACAACACTCCTTCTGCCAACTCCTTCACTCCTCCAATTGAAGCCCAGTTTGTGAGAATTTACCCACAGGTGTGCAGGAGACATTGCACTCTCCGCATGGAGCTGCTGGGCTGTGAACTAACAGGCAGGTCAATGCAAACATGGAAGAACAGCAGTAATAGCAGATTTCTATTATCATTGTACTGCCGAAAAATATTTGCAATAAATATTGTAACAAATGTAAATATGATTATATCTCCATACATATATCAAGATAAACAGACAAATATAAACAAAATATGCAAAAACATGTGAGTCCTATACAGTAGATTAGATAGATACTTTATTGATCCCGTGAGGGAAATTGCAGAAATTATACAGATTATACAATACACATCTGAAGTTCACTAAGCAGTTTACAACATTCGAAAATGCTCAGGTTGATTTAAAAGAAATTAAAATGGTTGACATGTTGACACTTAAGAGGGCTTAGATATTTGTCTTTCTCTATTTCTGCATATGCTTTTGTATTTCTTTCATTTGAATATTTGATGCTATTCATTCTAAGATGGTAACTATTTTAGCAAAACTGACCTTGACATTACTCCCCAACCTGATTAAGACAATCATAGGATAGAAAAGTATATTACTGTATACCAATGTATCACCATAATAATTTAGCAATGTGTATACAGTGAGTAGAAAAAAATTGTGAATCCCCTAGGATGGTCTGTATTATCATATTGTTACAATGTGGTGACGAGCTGGAAAGCACCACATTTTTTATGAGGGGTGTTTGGTCCCATGGAAGGCAGACAGAGAGGTGAGAGCTGGGGACTATATTATACAGGCAGGTAAAGATGGATGGTAGAGGAGTTGCAGGCAGACAGAGAACAGACTAAGCAGGAGGTGTGCTGTGGCAGCAGACACAGGAAGGACAAGACAGTGTACTACAGGTACAGGAAAGCTGCGAGGCTAAGCAAGTCTGGAAAAACAGGAAGCTTCACAGTCCTGCTGGTCTGGTCTGTGACTGAAGGTGTGGAGGGTAAGGGATAGACAGAATCGGGCAGAATAGTCTTATTGAGACAAGCAGCTGATCATGGGCAGATCTGGGATTAAGGAGCCTGGAGCTAATGAGATAATTACCTGGTAAGTGGGAGCAGGTGGCACTGATAGCCTTTCTGAATGAGTTCTCACGGCACTGAGAGGTGTTCAACTCCAAGTATGAACATGGCTGGTTACAGTAGAGATCGAGGGCTGCAAGCTCTGATTTGCCCGGATGTAACACATATATTTCAGACCTAAAACATACTTAGATCTTAATGAAAGTCTTAGTAAACAATGAAGATATCCTGATTAAATGTACAAAACAAAGACATACAGTTACTTATAATTAACAAAATAATTCAACACTATACCTGTATATCCTTGAGTGAATAACTACTGTATGTGAACCCATATATTCAATATCTAGAGAACCTCCTTGAGCAAGAACTCGACACACATTCTACTAGATGTTTCCTGTCACTGATGAATCTAAATGCTTTTGTTAATTTAAGAAAAGACCGATTTTTACTAAATAAGGGTAGTAAGAAGTTGTAATTAATGTAATAATTATATTCCAAGTTCAACAAACATTTTTCTTGGTACTGTAAATGCATGGGATCTGAGAAGCTATAGCATTTACTGTATCTCAGAATAGATAAATGCAGATTAGATATTGGAAGATAAAAACAGGTAAGCAGTCTCATGACTGGATGATGAGAAGGAAATAAAGCATCCTTTCAGGACAGTTAGGAACCATCTGAAGCTCTTGGCTCTTACGGCACTTGTTTTCCCTGAAGCTGTGAACTGTTCTATGTGAATTTTCCTAAATCATCCCAACATTTCTGACTTTGGAGACTGACTTTTGCAGTTTTAAATAGCAATTATATCTGGGCTTATACTTCATTGAAAGACAGGGTGGATCTCTGGGATAAATTTGTATTTAATCCCAGGGAAAATGGTTTCTCTGAAAATGGTATTGCCTTTTTTCAAACGTTTTTTTTTTATATCTGTAAACATACAATGATGTTCATTCTACAGCCATTATAATGGGTTTTAGAACACATTTCTGTTTTCAGAAGGGTACTGTGTGTTTGCCCTTCATAACCTTGTTCCTTTGCCTTTAGATAAAGAATTAATGCTGGGTGTTACAATGCATTTAATATTTTTGCTAAAAGTAATATTGCCCAATTCAGTGATGGTTAAACTGAACTCTTACATATCATACTTATTGTTTCCAAAAAGGACAATATATCACTTGAGTCTGTGCTGACAGCTGAAAAGAGTGAGTACCAGCCACAGACAAGACTCTAATTGGAATGCTACTGGCCTGACCTAAAATGTCAACACTACAAATAACCGAGTGTTCTAAAATAGATTATTACAATATGTTCAAATTGTACAGACAGCCAAGTTTGAAAACGTCAGACATTTAAGATGATTTAAGTTACGAAGAAAGGAATTTAACAAACCATTTCCTGCACAACCTGCTTCTAAATCTGCACATACTTTACACAGTAACTACTGCACATATTCATCATCTGTTTTGTGACCTGTTGTAACATTGTTTTAATGGCATAAAGCAAATACTTTAACTCAGAACAAAGCAGTAACTGAAACATGTTTTATTAATTTGTAAGACCTGCTGTATTTAGTGTAAGGGAAGAAGTTAAGATTAATTCCACACTGAAAAACAGAAAGGAGAAAGAATATTCTCCCCCTGCATTCTTGAGCGGACACCTTTTTTTCTCCCTTATTAATGTTTTGTTCCTGTTGTGCCAATGCACGATGAGGCAGATCTACACTCAAACCTTTTTGTGTATATTCAAGGAAGAAGATTGATGTTGATTGTTTTTTTTTTCGAAAAAGGTTGACTTTTTAAAAAACCTTTAAATAGCAAAATAATATGTCTAATTTTCGATGGCTTTCTAGGTTGCTCTGAGCCACTTGGGATGAAGTCAGGTCACATCCAGGATTATCAGATTACGGCATCCAGCATCTTTCGGACTCTCAACATGGACATGTTTACCTGGGAACCAGGCAAGGCCAGGCTTGACAAACAAGGCAAAGTGAATGCCTGGACAGCTGGGCACAGTGATCAGTCACAGTGGTTACAGGTAGGAGCCTCATCTCTCTTATGTCCTTGCCCAATGTATGGCTTAATACACAGCTGGAAACAATTTTATCATAGTTCTCTCTGTCTTCTTTCTATTCATGTTTCATGCTCTTGTTATCTTTGGCTACAGTTCAGCACTTTCAGCCAGGCGAGAAATGTTGTCGTGTTCATTAACTGTTCATTAAGGTAACTGATGGCAGTGTGCACTGAAATATTTCTCTATCTAGACCTAAAGGGAACTCTTAGGTCAGATAGAGCATGGCTTGTACTAACAGTTTTGGGTTTTTTTCGATTACTTTTTTTCTCCAACAAGTAAATATCGAAAAACAGCAACAGCAATGACATCAGCAAAGAAGCAAAACAACAACAACAACAACAACAACAACAATTTAATGTATTGGTATTTTCTTTCTATTTAGAAACATGTTATTAGATTTAAAATAATAAAAAGGAACAAGCAAAGGTTTCTAAAAAGTAGAAAGTAGAAAATAATGTTCAGCTGTAAATCTTTCTTGACATTTTTACCACAGTCTGTTTTTGTTCTAAAATAAGAAATAATAAATTCCCATATTTCAAAACTGGTTAATTCATACTGCAGAAGATTTAACATCAGCTCATCTCTTCAAAAGTTTTTTTCTCTTCTCTTCTTGCATGTGGTACCCATATTTTCTTTAATTACTTAATTATTAGAGAGTTCAATGCCAATGGTCTGAAATCAGTTAATGTCTTGGAGGAATTGTGTTTTGCAACTGTTATAGTTGCCACCTGTTTCCAAATTTTGGGCCCTGATTCACAGAGAGTTTCAGAGAGAGAGTGACAATGCCCACTGATGTGGTCAGGTGTGTGACTTTTTTCTGAAATTTGTTTTCATGAAAATGTTTGAAATTCGCTGTGTAGCAGTTTCAACCTTGATGGAGGAAATTAACTTCTCTTTTAAGCTCAGTAATTTCTGCATTGAAATCATGCATGTCAGACCTAAGGACCTGTACATACAGTACAGTAGCATTGTAGGTGTATTTATTGGAATGTCTGACGAAAAATAAAGGATATTTCTCCTAAGGTACAGAGTATTGGACAGTTGGGGCTTGATGTGCTGGTGCTGATGTGGTTGGTCAAATCCTTATTAAGCTATGGATTGTTTCCCTAGCTGTAATATTTCATTTGAAGGGTTCTTTGGTGGGAAGCTTAAAAAGGGGTTATTAGTAATTATGCTTTTTAGGAACAAGTAATAGGTTTATCTGTTACTAATAGGTAGTCTTTGCCTACTGCCCTGTCTCTCTCACACCTGAAGAAGGCTCCACGGCCGAAACGTTGTGTTCTCTTTCTTCTTTTTTTTCAGCATGGAATAAACCTATTACTTGTTCCTTTGCAGTCTACGCATGCTGACGCAGCTACCCACCTGAACTATTATGTTTTTTATGTTTGTTTTGCAATTTGTTATTAAGAAAACAATGCTTAGGAGATACACACTACATTATGCGATTTGTAGAAATCACTTATGGTTATTGAACAGATGAATATATGGATAACAGTGATCTGTTTACTGCGTGTACACATAAATCTTACCTATTTGGAAATTTACTTTTGTGAACAAGGGCCTGTGAGGCTTAATCAAGTCACAGTCAGTTATGTTGGCTGAAAGGGATATTTACCAACATTTCAATGTGCATGACTTACAGTAATTTTCAAGATATTCTTTCAGCAAGTGCTGGACAGTACAGTACAGTATGTGCATAGAAAATAAAAACAAATACCCCAAAGCATGCCTGTAGTCATATCAGTGTCACAATTATAGTCCCCCCTCCTTAAGGGTGCTCCAGCCCTTCACGTTAGACTTTATTCTGTGCACCTGATCCCTATTCCCAGCCCACCTTAAAAGCCAGGCGCTGACGCTCATCCGGGCTCTGCATCTGGTTTCCGTACTGTGCGAGTCCGGGACCTGGAAGCACCTGGTCCCGTTAAGGTTTTAATCTCCTTTCCCGTTCCCTGTCCGCCGGTTCCAACCCGGTTTCTGGTTTTAATTCCTTGTTTTGATGAATCTCCTGGTTTTGGACTTACCCATGTGTTTTGGATACTCTCTAAGGATTATTCTTTTGGATTGTTTGCCTCGGCCACACCTCCCCCGTGCACCAGCGCACCTTGGACACGCCCCCCTGTTTTCAGCCCCGTATTCCTGCATGACGTTTTCCTAGTGTTTCCCCACTTCTTTGGATTGTGTCGTCCGCATAGGGTCCAGAAAGAACTGTTCGTTACAATCAGTTGAAGACAAAATCAATATTTTTATCTTTAAGCTGAATTATTCCACATTTCATGGCATAATTCAGTTTTTATGTGAACTCTTTTAGAAAAAGTTTTTAAATGACAGCTGATAGTAAGAATGAATTATAAAGTACACTGCTGAAAGACTATATTTTGCATATATTATATAGCACCAAATTAAGCCATGATTCATGAAGCTTTCATCCTTCATTATTCATGAAGCAAAACAACATCCTAATGTTAATGATTATGTTAACCAAGACAAGGGAAAGCTTACCTTTGCTTTATTGTCTCACAGTACCTACTTAATACCTCCAATTATTCATAAGCACGGTTTCAGGCCAGCAAATGAAAATAAGTCATTTTATGAAAAGGGAAGCTGTTATACGCAGTTAGACAAAATTTTGCACATTGGATGACAGCAGCAAACAAACATCATAAAAATAATTTAGGCGCCTGCTGTTTACACAATAGAAAATGCATAATGTTTTAGATTCAGTAAGCTAGAGTAAGCTAGTGGGCATACAGTATATGGTCACACTCCCACATAATCAACCACCTAACCTTCCTAAACACCTGCACATTCCCACGACCTCAGATAATCAGACACCAGCTCGATCGAATTCTCGGAAACGACGGCGCACTAAATAATTGTCCAATCCCGTCTCTCGCTGTTCACTGCTCCTTCTGCTTATACCTTCCTCAAACCACCCTTCATGACTTGGTATTAAACAGGCTGCTATTTCTCCTAGCTCATCCTTCATTTCAAACCCTTGCAAAGGAAATCTGTTCTCCGCCTTTTGGATTCTGGCACTGAGCCTGCCTCACCAACACCGACACTGACCTCACCTTGTCCTATTGAACATTCCTGTGACAGAATACCAAGCCAGCGAGAGACGTGCTAGGACGATTATTTTGTGCACTGTCGTTTCTGATAATTGGATTGGGCTGGTGTCTGATTATCTGAGGTCGTGGGAATGTGCCAGCGTTAAGGAAGGTTAGGTGGTTGATTATGTGGGAGTGTGACAATTTAGTTAAAACAAAAAGAAAGACGGGGAGCAAATTCCATAGGATTAGATAAAATAATCTGTGTGAAATCTAGATGTGACGTGTGCCATTCTTTTAAGAAATTAATCTTCGTAAGTCTTACAACATGTAATATTTAAAATGTTGTCGTCCATGTTTTTCTTCCAAATTTAAAAAATAAGAAAATATTTTTCTGTGGCACTTGACTCACATAAGGAGAAGAATAAGGAGTTTGGAGTCAGAAATGGAGTGCTGAGTATGAACTATGCAATTCAATTATATAAAATGCTTACAGGATACAAGAGGCTGGTAAATATGAATGTCTACAAAGACGACAATATGAAATCCTGAGCATATTATTAGACCTACTCATCTGTGCATCTTTGACTACAGAATGGCTCCAATAACAAGATCTGCTATTAGAACAAGAATAAAACAGGAAATTGCACAATACCATGTTATCAAAAAAGGCATTCTGCTTACCAGCTGTAAACTTGTACACTTTGTCATCCCATATTCATATTTTAACAAGATTTTCAGATTCATCTGCAGATTTTCATTGTATTCACTAAAAAAGAAAAATAGAGAACATTTAGAGAAAAACATTCCACAGCTGAATTTCATATTTCATTTTTTAAATTCCTCTCATAACATTTCCTTTCTTTAGTTTTACAAATAATGGTATCCATATACTTTGTGATTTGAGTGCTGTGAACTAAATTCCATTTTTACATTACAAATAAGCCAGCTGTTATTACTATTTTAAGTACTGTACACCTCTACTGTACTGTAATAAAATGTATTACAGCCCAGTGATAACAGGCAAGAAAGTAAATTACGTTTACTTAAACCCTTCCCACTCAACCAACTCGCTCTCCTGCTCCTGCGATGTGTCTTATTCTCTTTCTTATATTTCGTTTTCTTACCCTTTTCCATGACACATGCAAGAACTGAGACAGTGATAACTTAGGGGAACACAGAGGTTTTATTTAAAATTTAACATTGATTTAGAGAACAACACTGAGTCGGATAGTGTACAGGAATTGCTCTGATAAGTGTACACACAATGCACATCTAATGTTTCCTGAAGGAAACTAAAGGAAACATAACCTCCGATGCACTTCTACATAAACATTAACTTTCGTCATAACCAAGTTTTGCCTTCAATACAGAGTTCGCAACAGGTCGGGTGAAGAAGGTCTGGAAAATGAAAATGTGGGTTCTCACATTTACTCTCCTGCTGCACATTTACTCTCTCAAAATTGGTCTGCGAATGTGGACAAAGTGGTCACTAAACAAATTTACGGGAATCGGCAAAATTGCAAATATTGATTTTGGTTACTTGCTGCGGTGATGTGCTGGTAGGTTAATTTAGTCTGTAAGATTGTCTGTTGGATGAGGAGACCTTGGAAACCCACTGTTACGCCATGGAAAACCAAAGACTGAGGCGGACAGGTTTTGCGGACGTCTACTCTCATAGAGCTGACTGAAAAAAGGGCAGACACCTGCCAAGGCACCCTAGTGCCCTAATGCAGTAATGGAAACATACGCGCGACAGTGTCATGAACACAAATGGCCACTTGCGTGTCGACATAACACCCACCTCTTTAATCCTTTCAGTAGTTACGCTTGTGTTTCTCTGCCTAATACACAGATTCTAGCTCTGGGTTTCTAGCATTGCAATACTACTAGCATGTCAGAAAGAGAAGTGGCAAG